ATTGCCTCAGCTTTACAATTGGCTAAATTTACCCGGAACAATGGCTTGGAACCTCATTACCAACTCAAGGATTAGTTCATTGCTAACGCAAACAGATCCTATCACTGAATCACCCAAATTTTCATGGATCTAACTCATTGATCTACCAGTAAATTTGATTTACTTTTTTAATCTTGATTGCATTTTTAATTTAGACGATCAATTTATTGTTAAAACAATTGATCGCTGAAAGTTTGCATGGAGAGAAATGATTAATCTTTTTTCTGTGTAATTTAGTTACATTTGAAATTAACATTTCTTTCCATAACTTGCGGTTGAATCAACTTTCAGCTTGAACCAAATTAACAATTCAAATTGCTCGTTTTTTTCTCGTCCTCTAATTTAATATTGAATGATTAATGATGCAAGCTAAGGCCGCTTTTGTTAACAAATTGATTCCAGTGATCAATTCATTATACTAATAATGTTAATTGTAAAACATTTTCTTGCTTTTTTGTTTAGGTAAAAGTGAAATGCAAAACTGGTTACATGTAAAAATGAGTCCAACATCTGATATGGCTGCACCAAAAATCAATAAATACTTAGGACCAAACCAAAGGTTAATCTGACAATTTCATCATTCCTCTTTAAATCATCATCATCATCTTTTGACTATCTTCTTTGAGGTCTAAAATTTTTCCTCTTTTTTTTTTCATTCAGCCAAGTAACTACCCAAAGAATCATGAAAGTTGTTGAAAGACTGTTGAAATGATGAATGATGACACTAAGCTTTTGCCTCTGCTTCTGATGATGATAATGGTAATGATAATGATGATATTATGATCTCTATTTCTTGTTCATCCTTTAAGCCATCATCATGGAACTTGACATGTTTAATGAAAACGAATGAAACCAAATGTGAAATAAGAAGCTAAGCCTTTCTTTTCACTATAAAAATATCTATTTTTTCATCTCTACATTGATATATAACAGTTGAAAAAAAGGTCATTTAACCTTGTTACATTTCATCACTTGATTATCATCAAAATTAACCTCTCTTCATTTAACAATTTGTAATGTAAAATCATTTTTCAAACCATTGATTGAAATATCAATTGAAATATCGGGACAAGTCCAACAGTGATTCCAATTGATTAAACAATGTTGCTATATTTTGAAACCTGAAAAAGGCTCGTTTCTTTCCTCTGATCCACTATTCCTTCAACTGATTAACTAACAGTCTAACCTTTCCAATGATTGTGACTCTTTCACATCAACTTTCCAATCAATTATTCCAGTCATTAGACTATGAAAATTTAATAATTGATTACTTGGATCTGATTTTTGATGCAGCTAAAGATTCAGTTGTGTTGATTTGATCCCAGTTATTATTGAGTGAATCGGTTCAATCAAATGAATAATCATTTGTTTTGTATTGATTTGTTTCTCATTGTATCCAAACCCAAAACTCATATATAAACATTGATACACAATTACCTATCAATAATGCGATTGAAAGTTGACAGTAAACATTGGAATTAAAATATATCGATTTATGTTAATTTATAACCAAACACACAATAAAATAATTGGCGATTCAATACCAATAATGATTGTTGAAACGTGTTTGGCTACCAATTTTGTTGCATATTATCCATCAATACTAATGCTGTAATTGTTGAGGTCTTGTTTGTAATGGTAAGCTGTCACTTGATAATCATTAATCATTTCCTAACTGTTATCATTGAATCAACCCAAAAAATGGAATAAAAAATGAACCAGAAAAGTCTGCAAAATGAACAATTTAAGGATTTAACTGAACCTAACCAACCAGGAATGGTCAAAAGTCTACTTATAGAAGGACTAAAATCAAAATGGACAATTAATCTGTAGTGATCACAAATGAAATAGTATGAAATGAATGAAATATGAATAGATCAAACTACAAAGATGAATAGTTGTTGAAACAAAGAAAGTTTATTTGTATGAAAACTGAGAAAACAAACGCTTCTATCGAAGGTCAAACTCTTTCTGACTTCTCAAATGAGAGCTCACTTCGAGCTCTCGCTTGGAGATCACATTTGGTCTTAGCCTGAGGGCTCGTAGAGTCAATAATAGTTAAAGTAGAGAAAAGATTGAACGTTAAGAAAAAGTAAGGAATGGAAAGGATTAAGGATCATGGCCTTAGAGAGGGAAATATGGATTAAAGGGAACTTAAAGTGAGAGTTAATCTTGAGAGCTCTTTATGGAGCGCTCTTAGTGGAGCGCTCTTAATGGAGGGCTCTTTATGGAGCGCTCTTAATGGAGCGCTCTTTATGGAGCGCTCGTTAAGAGCAAAGCAAAAAAATAAGCTCTCTACATTCCCCGTTACTTGGAATTATCCCGCCTGGGATGATATGAACGGCAATTCCTTATGTGTGCAAAACTCTTCTGTCCATTTTCATCGTAGATAATTGTCTTCTGCTGTCCATCCTTGATAATGATATCCTTGATTTCAAATGGTCCTTCAAACTTGAACTTTTTTCCAATTTTTCCTTTAAATACTAAGATTTTTGAACCGACCTCAAATTTCATTGGTCTAGTTTTTCCTTTATTATGATACTCTTGCATCTTAGTTCTGTATTTCAATTGTTGCTCATCGCTGAAAGGTTTTTCTTTTATTTCGCAATTACCAACTACTCCAAAGTGATTGTCTGCCGGTAGCCAGTCTGTGTATCCAAAAGCTTTAAAAAATGGTGAACAACCAAGAGCACGATTGTATGCACGATTATTATGTTTTGCTGCTGCTTCAATGGCCTTTTTCCAACCTCCAGGGAAATCAGGAAAACATTCGCAAAATAATTTTATCTTTTGAACGTGGCGTTCCGCCATTCCGTTAGACCATGGGCTATATGGTGAAGTAGTTACCAATTTGATATCCAGCTTAGTTGCGAGGTCTCTAGTTGCTTTAGAAATGAAAGATTTTCCACAGTCTGAAATCAATCTCTTGATTTTATCAATTGATGGGTGAGCGCTCAAAAAGAGCACTAAAGAAGAGGCATCTTCTTTCATTGGAACTGCTTGGCATAATCTAGTCGCTTCATCGACCATAACGAGAAAGGAATGTGTTTTCGCGGAGCCCTCTTTCTTTTTAGTCAATTCGCCATAATCTAAATGCATGACTTCGAAAGGGACTTTTGAATGCTGAGGCAAGATCATAAAGTCTTGATGCTGCTTCAGTTTTGATTTTACTCGTTGGCAAACGTCACAAGTTCTTATGTAGTCTGTGATATCTTCCTTCATCTTGGGCCAAGTAAAACGAGCTGAAATTTTATGGTATGTTCTTGAGATCCCATCATGGCCACCAGAGTACGGGTCATCGTGATAAGACTGTAAAATGGCAGGCACTTGGTCTTGGTTTACTTCTATGCGTTTCTTTTCATCCGATAGTAATACTAAATTAATCATTGGTATTTCTGGGCAAAGTCTTGAAAGTGCGTCTGCATCGGTTAACTCCCTACCGGAACGATGATTGATTTGAACATTAAAACTCATCAAGAATGTCTGCCAACGACCGAGACGGTTTTTCGGCTCTTTGAGTGAAAGTAAATGAGAAAGGGCTTGGTGGTCACTATGCACTTTGAATTCCTTGCCTTCCAAGTAGCTTCGGAAATATTTTATTGCTTTGATGACGGCTAGGCATTCCT